TTGGTATCTACTTTGGAATTTCCTTTTGGTTTAATATTTGGAATCGTGAATTGCAAATAGATCGACAACTGTGCTTCTAAAGATCAACGATCAAAAAACTGGACGTAACAGTAAGGGTGTCCATTTGCATTGAGTAACGGCCCTGTTTAGTCAGGATTAATGTGACTAAAGCTAGAATCATGAATTGAGAAGGTACCTAAGGGACATTTGTTATGGTTACTTACCTTAGCTTTCAGATAGCTTACACAGAAGGGTTCCCACCCCCTAAAGTATCTGTTCATAACAGGCTAGGAAAGCCTTACTGCCACCAGCTTGATGGTTGCTCGGGTATCTAGATGCGAAAGTCTGTTCATACAGGTTATACAAGACAAGGCACCTGTAAAAACGTTTTTAGCCGCAGAGGTGTTGTGTATCTGACTTAAACTGGGGGCTCTCGAGGAGAAGACTTGTCTGAAGACGACAGAAGAGAGAACGGTAATGGTATTCCGCCGTGCGGCACTACTCATGTCCAGATCTAGGAATTCTCTGAGGAAAGCGCGGTTTCTTGTTTCAACCTCCTGCAGCCGTCTCCACACGAGTGTTAAGGATTTTGAGATATTGCAAACCCATTGTTGTAAGACTCCTCCGCCATAACTCGTGCCAACTATCGCATTACACACTACTGAATCTGAAACACTATCTTTATTAGCCATGTATATGAAGCCAATGTATATGATGACATATTCAAGTAACTGAATAATCTTTTGAAAAAAATATGTTTGTACTTTTAACATTTTGAACTTGCCTGTAAACTGGCATGCCTCTTATAACATCTTGTCGTCATTTGAGAAACAATTATTATTATTTGCTGCTTCAGATGCGTCTACTGCAATACTGATTGGTATTTCGGTGTGTAGATATGCTGGCTTAGTTGGCTTAGCGATGTGTTCCTTCACTGTGGAAGGTGCCTCGTTCATAGCGTCATCAAAATTATTGATTTTTGCAATTCCATTTAACTGGTCTATTCAGAGACTCAGAAGAGATTAGCAATTCACTATGAATCGTCAGCAGAAACTTACTAGTTCATTCATCGTGAGTGGTTGCTTGAACATAGTCGGCTTTAAGTAATCCAGAATGACCTCCACTTCATTCCCTAAAGGGTGAATATCTTGAGTATCAATAGTATGCTCATAAAAGTTGGGGTATTCTGTTCCGACTCAACATTTCTGTAGGTTCACATCAGCTTCATGCTTTTATAGTCGTTTGGAAACGAAATTCAAATGCAGATGATGTGGTTTGCGACCGAAGATTTTGGGTAAATGGAACTGCAACCTTTCCTGAACTTTTTGGAATGTTTGACACAAGTGTTGCGGTACGAACACCGAATCGGGTTGTGTTTCTTGAGGTCTACACCTCGATATTCTTGGAGTTTTAATGGTTCACGTTCCCATCAGTAGACAGAAGTAACTAGACCATGGAGTTGTTTTGTGACTGGATGAATGTATATTACACACCTTGAGAAATTTTAGGGAAACAGAGTTATTGAAAAAAGCCGTCATAGTCAGTTCACTGGTCCATGATCTCTCTGATACGTAGTGACATTTCTGATACTGAGCCGTTTCTCCGTTCGATGTTGTGGAAAAATTGATCTGACCTTTGGCGATTGGTCATGTAACTACGCTTAAGAATCGCTATCTCACTGGTGTGGCAATTTCGCCGTCAAACACGCGCCAGGCGTAATGTATCTACTAAACTAGCGCGGTGACGCTTTTCTGCCTCAGCATAGCAGAACTAGGCTTCGATGTTTTCGGCTAGAATGGGATGAGTTTCACTTTTAGGAAGCTTGGGTGTGTTCCGACAGTAAGAACAGAACATGCACAAGAAGGTAGGAAAAAGATGCGAAAAAACCAATATCTCGATATATAGAAGTACATTAATGATGTATAATGTTATAACAATGAACAGAATCATAGTTTCTCCTTCGGAGCACCAGATCACGTTGGACTCACCAATGAGGATATCGCGGATAGTCAAAGTTGAACAAGGCCTTTATCCATAATACGTTTCAGATCGAGAATACCCAAAACCAATTCAAATCATATGTCGGAAACGAAGAAGATTGAATGTACATATGAAGGATGGCTCAGATGTCGAGGAATGAGTTAATTAAGCTTGTTAGTTGATGCGAAAAGATGTGTTGCATGACGTAGGCCACAGCGATCCGATTTAAATGAGCAACCGAATTTATTCAGATAGCATGTATCCAATAAAACTAACGAGGTCAGCATCAATGTCCACTGCGAGTTATTGACCAAATTAAAATGAAAGTTTGTAGCCGTCAGAAAAACAGTAAGATATTCAAAACGGGAAAATAGATAGTGCTGACAATTAAATTTGCATAAACTAGCCTATTAACTTGAAAAGCCGGTCAAACCGAATTGTGAACAGAGATAAGTTCACTTTTCACCCTCAGTCCGAATGAAACTCCATACCTCAAACTCAGGACGTATTCTCTAGATGAAAAATGATACCCTTTTCGCGTAAATACACAGAAAAGGTTCGTAAAGTGAAAAGTGACTAATATAGTACTTCCCGTTTGTAAAGTCTTAGAATTGTGACATAAGGAGTGGATATTGGATATTGGAAATTCGTTGCTAATGCAAGGTGTGTAGCGCATTTAACAAAAAGGGACTTTAATTCATCAGTGGTTTTGATAGCCGTAAGTTGGAGACAGTTATCGATCTGAAATGATTAGCAGTTTGTAGTAAATTGAGAGATTGGGCGGTTCTTGTTAGCTGGACACTTATAAAGTTGAAACATTTCGTTGAGAGGCTCATTTTTAGGTCTATTATTCGTCCTGAAAATCTACGTTATTTTGAATCTCACTGTTACAAAGTAACTCACTGCCACCAAAGGTTTGCATCTGGGTAACAGAAAGATTGCCTTGGCTACGGAGAACTGTGACTTATGTTTTTTTCGTGTGAAGTGTAAAAATAGACTAATCTTCCAGCTTTGGGTAAAATTTGATTAATTTCGGAAAAGCTTCTATGGTAAACTTTGGGAAATGCAACGAAAAACTTCGAAATTTCCTCTGACACTGGGTAGATACACATTATTTTTTGGAAAACACTGTATTTCTGCAAGCGAGATTAGGAGCCTTTAATGAGAAGTGACGGGGGATCCCTGAAAACATACAATAATAACACTTTTTTCAAATTTCAGCTCTTGTGACTATTCAAAATCAATTACTTTCGCCGATAGCGCTATGGTAATCTTACCAGTATTGTGTTTTGTTGTGACTGTTTCTGACATCGTTTGCAGCGCATCCCCTCAGTTTCATTTTGAAAAGCGCCCAAGGCTGGTTGTGTAACGGTTTCAAATCTTCACTTAATTTGCTCCTAGTTTTTCCTCATTGATCCCCTGGAGCTTACCTGATTACTGACTTTTATTTTCTACTGTGTTTGTTAAAAGTGAGTGCCCTTTGTGCGCATGTCGGGTCGTCAGCTCACCGCTTATCTTTTCCAGTTCTTTATTTAACCTGGTTCCTATGAAACCTGTTTGCTCATCTTCGAATATGTCACCGACTCCTGGGCCTACATATGCCTAAATATCATTGATAAACGTGAGTTCAGAATGGATTGTAAGATCCATCTTCACTCACCAATCGATCCAGACATGGACCTAAATATAAGGTCCCTTATTTCATTGATTTCCATGCAATGCAATTTACCTCGTCTGATAATTATAAACCGTGGTACCTACTCCAACGATGATGTGTGTAAGCTGGCAGGTGCTGAACCCGTCTAACTCGTGGTTAGACGTTTGGTTTCTAGCCATATCTGTTTTAGCGTTCAAAACCTCTTTGACAGTGTCAGTCACTTTAAGTTCGCACATAAGTTCCCTTTGACCCTTATAGTTTTTAAACGGGACGAATCCAGACTATATAACTGCCTAATCCGGAATGGGATCCATATCTTTGATCCGAAGAAGAGATAGATTGCATATTTCCTGACAAATGAAACGGATTTTGTTGTATTGTCTCCTGAATATGTTTCCGCGAAACCTTCAAAAATCCCTTCCACTCAACTCGTAATAATCTTCAGTATTTCTTTAGAAAAGAACCAGTTACTTAAATTCACATTTGTAAGAACCATTATTCTGTACTGCCCTGCGAATTTCATCGTTTCAGACTTGTTGAACACATCATGCACTTGCTACAACAGTCTTAAATTCCTTTGTAACTAGTAAGTGACAGTGTATAGTAGCTTTCAAATTTTGGCCCATCAAAATATTTTTAATGTTTGAGTGCTTCTACATCCTTTTTGGAGGCAAACCACTGCTTTCTAAATCTAATGTTAATAGAACGCTTGTTTTTAAAAGTATGATAGGAAAAATAGTCATATTTAAAAGCGACCGGACAGAAGTTACTTTTATGAAGTGTAAGCATTCGACTACTTCTGGCTATCTGATACGAAAAACTAAATTACATTCGTCTCCTGCTGAACTGTGGAACATTTGTTACTTTTTTGTATCTTGCTCTAGTGTTTTAAGGTTTGAGACTATTGTCTCTCGTTTTTTATTTGAATTACCTCGAATTGTATAATATTGGCTTACAAAATGTTTGGTTGTATCAATGTTCCAAATATTCGCATATTTGTAGACGTATTACTTACAAGGTTTGAAGGGATTCAGCTTTAAACAATATAGTTTAAACGAAGGTGTTTTGTTCACTAATTACCGGTAACTGATAAATTTGTAAAAAGAAAACGAATATATATGACATAACTAGGGATATTTGCGTCTTTCACAAGTTTCTTAGCATTTGATGAGTTTCCTATCGACTGAAAAGCTGCCTGACAGGTACTGTGCCAAATCAGTTGATAATTCCGATAATGTTCCAAGCTCATTCGAAAAGCCTGTTAAAAACGCCAAAAACTGCACAGTTTTAGCTTTATTTAGCAGTAGACACCTTAAATCCATAAAACAAAACGCTCAGTTTATATGACTGTTACATATTATATCATCCCAGTTATAACTCCTAGAGAATGGTTACTTCTCTTACTCAAGTGAAATATATCATCGAGACAAGTATTAGTAGTTGAAAAGTACGTCTGTATCTAATATTCAACTTAAGTTTTCTTCTACAAGGTTTCATTTGATAACAGAATTAAAAGGTATATCCATTCGCTTGTTGTTACAAAGTTATCTTGTATTTAATTTTAGATTGCACTCCAAAGACTGCAAAGTAGTACTAGAATTTTTATTAGGAAATTCTGAGCTTTATCTTTCCTAAACAGTGCCTCCCTACGATTAATTGAAACCGCATTGTGTAATGCGCAATTTTTCAAATGGTATGCAGCGGTTAAATAATATGTTATTGAATTTTTGAAGCGGAAATTCAGAGTATAGTCAAGTTACAAGCCTATATTCGTGGTATTTTGGTTCGTATAAGGTTCAAGAAAGCTCTACAACTTTTCCGAAATATTATATCAGAATGTGGTGAATGCGAAGATAATTTAAACCAATTTCACTATATGTTTAATAATTTTGGAAAGAACAGAACGTGTTCAATCAATAATAACCAAACTTGTGAGAAGTCAAAACTTCCTGAACTGTATGCTCTCAGAAACAATCTGTTCCTCGAAGCTGTATGGTTGGATCAAGCTATCGCTAGTCGTCGTCATTTTCTGATGTACAAACAAGACTTTAATCTACATTTCGATCAATAATCATGTATTGCAATGTAATAAAACCTCTTCGCTCATTTATTTCGTACTAATATATGTATTTAATATTTCGAATATCACGTATCTTCTTCACAATTTTTTTAATCGATTCCATATGCTGTTGCTCAAAAACTGTTATGATTTATGGACACTCACTTAAATCACATAATAAAGCCATTGATCAGAATATCCATTTCTATCGTCGATTGAGTTAACCAATAAAACGCCAATAAGCACCGGCAGTTTTAAACTCTCGCTAAGTCCGTATTGGTTCTTTATTCCGTAGTATCTCTCCTTACCCAGCCCATTGAGTTCAGAGCACAGTTATTTGCTTCCACTAGACGAATAAATATATTCTGAGTATATGTAGCTCGTATACTGACATACTTGACTGCACCACACCATAAAATAGGAAATAACAATTATACGTGGTCAAGCCAAAAAAGTGATTGTCAGGGATACTGGCCATAATAAACTAGCAACAGATTGAGAACAATAAATCATATAACAGTAGTTAATGAGTTGAAATCTCATGTTGAAAGGAATATCTATATAATCAAATTACTTAATAACTATACACTAAATAGTCAAAAAATTACTCCTAGCAGTGACCATCTATTTAGTCTTCGTTAGATGTAACACAAACACATTTAAGATCCGTATGCATATGCTTAATGTACAATTTTTTGTTGAGAAACGGAATTGTTTTTACCCTCATCTTCCTGAAATCAAAGTTCCAGGATTTGGGTCTCATACTTGGTAGTCAACAATTAAGTGTTCATTACAGAAAACCGTGACACTACAATCTGTAACGTAGTTAATTCTCACATTTTCTGTAATTATTCTGCTATCAAAAAACTTCTACGAAAGTACTATATAGTTTTTGTTTTGGAAAAGAGTTTTAATATTAGACGTTGTGTGTTTTGAAATTCAGTGAATAATATTTCTATCAGGAGATGGTAAAACACACCATCAGTTGCTCATGTGAATAAATTATTAACACGCGCTCCCAAATTAAGATTTATTCTTCATGTTTAGTTAGAAACTGCAAGCCGTTTAAAGATGGGAAATCTTAGCCTCTCATCCATGAACTTGACGATCTCATATAACGTAGTTATCAAACAACTTTCTAATCTCTTCCTATTTTTAAAAGAACCACAGATTAATTTGAAACCTTGTGAAAGTTTTTCTTCTCGGTACTGGAAAAGCTTTAGCCAAATGTTAAGATTAGAGCTAATCTGATAAATACATGACCCTAGACTATTTTGAAGCTTGTTTCAATAAAATCCTAATGCACACTTTAACTACTTGTGGTCTTAATGAGTAGTAATGTAAGTTTTCTTCCTGATTTCCGTTGAGCAATAACGTTGCAGTTAATTCGGTGAATTTTCTGCCAGCAGAAATAATTCACCTTACTATTTCACTATCTCAAATACTTAGTTGATCATGTAGAAATCAACTGCTGTTTCGAAGTAACTCTTAATGGAAGAATTTAATGGATGAATTACGTTTCACCGTATAAAAATTAACAGAATAAGAAAATAATTACAATTACTTTGAATTACCATCGAAAATCCTAATTGTCACTCTGTTAGCTAAGTAATAATCACTTTCAATATTCAGAGAATATTGCTAACCTTATAGGTTGTAGAGTTATAAGTTCTTGCCGTCTTTTTCTCCGGATTATGAAAATAAATAAGTAACCTGAGTGTACATACCCTCATACTTGTGTGCCTACGTTATCGCCACTTATTAATTACTCGTTTACTATAGAATCAGTGGGTCGATGAATCCTTACCTATTGAGAGTTTTCTTATCAAAGCTGCTTACTATCACAAATCTAATTTTAACTGACTTCTAACAATGAAGCTACTCTCCAGTAAAACCTTGATTTATTTCTTTGTTGTGAAATATATATATATATATATATATATATATATATATATATCAGTCAGCCACAACATAGAACTTCGTACGTACGTAAAACAGTCCAAGTTACCATACCACATTAGCACAGAGATGTAATTGTTAATTCAAATCCCATAGTAGTAGAGGAAGTAGAAGTATAAGCAGTAATTGGAAATTTCGGGATTCGAAGATATTATTCAAGAATTAGAATCTAGTGAAAGAAACTTGGAAAGAAAAAGATAAAGGTGATGAGGCAATCCGAAAGTTAGGATCCATTGCAAACGGTTTTAGCCATGTCATTCAGGGTCTCTAACCATCGATTACTATCATCTCGTGTGCCTCAACTAGGTAGTCGACACATACCAACATGACTCAATTCAGTTGTCAGTGACTTCATGGATTTGTGCCATGTTTTGGTTTGGCCACCCCTAGCTTTATTCCAACCTATTCTTGTATGGCAAAACATAGTTCGACTATGCATACGCAACACGTCCCAATCACCTCAGCGATCGAAAATAGGGTTGGTCGTAAAGATAAGATAGTTATTAGGTGTAGAAAGGATTTGATTCTGACCGATTTGGTCTCGCGTGTTTTTATGGTTATCAGGGCGAATGTTACTTCCCGTCCGGCCATACCGTGCAAGGGCTTTGGTTGTCAGAAATGGCATCGGCCTCGTGACTTTCGAAGGAACTCAGCTTTCATCATGAGACGTAATAGCTCTTCTAAGTGCAAACATTCCAACTTCCAGAGAAGATTTTAAATAGTTTGAATTATCTTTTCCTTTTCGCGTTTATTAGCTAGTTAGTTTTTCAGGGGTTGGGGTCGCCAACTACAAGCCCAACCCTCCTCCTTTATCTGGGCCTGGGACCGACAGTAACCCTGGACGGTTTACAGGTGGAGTTATATATATATATATATATATATATATATATATATATATATATGACTTAATTATCACTATATTAAACCTAGTTTCCTTGGTGTGTGGACAAATTTAGTCAAGTGACTACCTTTTACGAAACAAGAATTGACAATACACAGTATTTTGGAACGTGTATTATACACAAGATGAGTTTCTCCTGAACTTCATCAATGAAATACCGTGTTAAATTTAGATTGTAGACAAACTTATACTTCACATTTTACAACCAGCTTGTTTAGAAAAAGCTTCATTAGAATGTAAATCAAATTAATCCATTACTTCTGTTCTTACATACTGATAACTGTTATACACTAGTGTAAGTTAAATTTCTTTGTGATGTTCTCCATCAAGTATGAACTCTAATTTTGATATTGTGGTAGGTTATAGTGATTTTAGAATTGATTTCAGTTCTAGAACAAAAAATCTGGCAATTCTAGACATCAATAAACATTCATTAACCAGATCTTGAAATATGATTAGCACACTTACCAATGCTCGGTTCTACTTTCATTCACAGGAGAGTGCATATAAAATGATGTATTTGATTTTATGTATCGATCAACACTGTATAAAAAAGAATATTTTGCAATTTACTTAGTCTATGCTTATTTTTAATAAATGGTGATGTCGAAATATTAATTGAATTAGATTTATGGGGAAAAAACTAGTAAATTATATGTTAATATAAACAAAATGATTAGGTTGCAATATCTAATACCTATCTAATACTTATTGTTAAGCAAAGTCTTATATTCATGAACTCAATACTTCTGCAGTCATCAAAAAAATATTCACCTAATGATCCCCTTGTATTACTTATTACAATATGATGTAATTGAGTTCTACAGATTGGGGAAACATTTGATCTCATTCACTTACTAACAATCCATGATGAATGTTCACACAATATTTTCTCAAGAAAAATGTACAAATAAATGAAAATGTATTCAATTTTAATCGTAGTCATAAGGTTTTGTTGTTTGTTTCCAATATGTTACTACTAAAGGGGGTGGCGTCAGAATCAATCCAAAAATATTCTGACAACTATTTATATTTGGAATCATCAATTAATCATTGTTAGACCACCATTAGAAACCTGGAAGCACTGGACGGCCGTTTCTTCCTGGTATGGGACGTGACCAATGGAGTTCAACCCTGTCGGGTGTAGGCAGTAACTACCAAAGACAAATGGGTGAGGTCACGCAAAATCCCTCGATCAATCAGAGTTAGACATTAACACCGTTGGGTGCCGGCCCAGTGGTCCGATGGTTAGGCGTTCGCGCACAATACCGATGGTCACGGGTTCGAATCCTGCGAGGAGCAGGAGTCGTGGATGCGCGCTGCTGACGAGTCCCATACCAGGACGAAACGGCCGTCCAGTGCTTCCAGGTTTCTAATGGTGACGTAACAATGACTGATTGATGATTTCAAATGTGTGAAAACACAAACCTCCAAAACTATTTATATCTTTGCTATCCCTCTCAACATTGATATTGATTTAGGTGAGCACTCTTTGGACTTAGTACTTTGATATTCTAATTAGGTCAACATGATAATTGTAAAAATAACCATAAAAATGCTTATTAACAAAGGTAGACAGTGATTAACAATGGAATCCAATTAAATCTTTCAATAATTACCTTTTTTTCAATTTATTTTTAATTAGTGAATAATAAGTATTTCTTATTGACTATTTAAGATATTAAACAATTTATTCTATGAAAGAGATATCACACCTGTCTAAAATTGTGACGTGTGTCTTATTAATTTTCTTATAATATTGATTCGATTTTCCCTAACCAATTAGTTCCACTCAAAACTTATTATTATTATGATTATCATTATTATTAGTGTTACTATTGTTCTTTCGGAGGAAAGTGTTCTGCTTCTCTTTACCTTTTCTCTAATCTTTCTTTCATTATACACACCAATACAAATACCTTTTATTATTATTATTATTATCAATAAGGATTAACATGAAGAAACAGGCATTGATAGATAGACAAATAAATAGATTGGATAGTTGAATGCAATATATCAAGCGTAAAATCATTTCACTTTAATTTTCATTTATTGTTCTGTTTTAAGTATGTATGTACGCGATAGGTATGCAATTATGAAATTGAAAGAACGTAAGCCGAGTAAATATTGTTCTAGTTTATTTATGTTTATCATTATTGTTGTTGTTGTTTTGTCTTACTTTTAATAAGTAGATCATTGTCCTTTATCTACTCAATATTTACACACCTTGTCATTTCTTTCATTCAATGGTTGTATAAATTTATAAACAAATAACTGTTAATCTTTTTTTTCCCCAGTTGATACGTTATGACCGTGAATCTGA